TGACATCAGAGGGCGCCGGGGAGGGCGCCCGGCGCGCCGCACCGCCCCGTCCTGTCTTCGCCAACGCATCGGCGGCCACACCCGCCACCCAAGCCGCGAGAACAGTGTGGGCGGGTGGCTGTCGTTTGGGATAAAATCTGCGCGCGCATGGCTAATGACAAACTTTCACAAGGAGTGAGGCCTCTTTGCTCGCCCGCTGACCACCCCGGTCCGGCACCTCAGACGGAAAGCCGTGCCTTGAGAATACATTAGGCGATGTCTCGCTGGCTCAGCACGCCGAGAGCGTCATCGCTGCTGAATAATTCAACGCAGAATATTCTACATGCAATGAGGAGTAACCCTTGCTGTGTGAAACACAGCCGCGGGAGATACTGTGATTTACTGCCCACACGGCCATCTGTCCATCGGCCTGTCGCAACGCTTTTTAACTGACCACGCCACCTCCAGATCCCGCATCGGCTCACGGGGCGGTTTGTATGCATCGATAGCTCGCGTCGCCGGGTGCGGCGAGCGCCACTGGCTACCCGCCAGCGCGCACCGCTGGCGCTGACGTCACCCCCGGCGTCTCCGGTCCGGCCGACATCGGCACCTCCGGAGCGGGCGAGACAGCTCGGACGAGTCGAGTCGAGTCATCAGCAGAGCGGGCGAGTCGAGTCGCCGCTCGGGACGTCTCGCATCTTTTATAACGTCTCTGAGATCCGTTCCACTGTGCTGTGCCGTCTTCGGAACGAGAACGGTTTTATCATCGTCTTCAGTCTCATTGGTCCGGTGGCTGCTTCCTTTATTTATTCGGTTGAGGTCGGGCGACTCAGATATTATAGGTAGATATTAGCGTGCCTGACATCATGAGCGATCCAAACTTGAGAGCAGCTTTGACTGTGGCGTCGGACATAGAGTCAAGTAGCTGGTGCGGCTTGATTTCGACGTCGGTTAGCCGCAGTTTTACAAACACAGACGTCCCACACAAATGCAAAGTGACTAAAACGGTTTCGAGGGCACCTAGGCATTTGCTGCTTGTGGCGTTAAGTATGGCTAACGTGTTTTCCAGTGTGCTCCAATCCATTTAAAACGCTAAAGAAACCAGCCAAAGCTCGCCATACACAGCGAGTTCCTGCACCTTTTTGACACTCTAGGTGAGGTTCAGGTACCTGCGCTTACCGCCGCACCCAAAGCCGCCTTTTCAAGCCGCAGTCCTGTCAGGCATCGCGCGGGTCCCGTTCCCCTATAGCTAAGCGCCATCCAGGTTCCAACCCATAACGTCACAGTACGCCACAACAATCCCGAAGTCCCTGAGTACAGTAGGTTGCGTGTGACATGACCACTTGCGACGTCACAGTTAGCAGCCTTAGGACGGTAGTTTGCCAGTGAAGAACCGCAGCTCCACCCACGGAGTGTCGTCCGCGCCGTAGCCGCCTCTCACGCACCGTGGCGTGCGTGTGGTCCGGCGGACGTGTTCCGCTCTTTTCACGCCCCGTGCGCGCGCGGCGCTCTGCACCACCGGCGCCGGCCGGCGCGGCACTCCCGAGGTGTCGAGGACAATGGTGGTCCGGTCGGCGACGGCCGTTTTTATCGGCGATCGGACGCGGCGGACGGGGCGAGGTCCAGTCGTTGGACGGGCTGCCAGACACGCAGCGCGTAAAAACGTCCCGGCGCAGCCGCCCTAAAAACGGGCCGCTGTCACTGGCCGCTCGCCCCGCTCCCGGTCGTTTGAGCTCGGCCACTACCGGCGGGCATTTTTTGCTCCCGCTGCTACCTTTCAACCGCCGTCACCACAAGGGGCAGGAAGAGGAGCATCCGGAGCAAGTGTGAAGCGACGCCTTGGGCCGCACCCTGCGCCCCCCAGCGGCGTCGCTGGGCACTCCCCTGCCGGCGGACCGGTCGCTCGCGGGATTCACACGGAAACGCCTCAGCAGCGCTCTGACAGGAGCGTCCCCCGGTCGGTGGCATCCGCGCAGCAGCGGCCTCCAGCCAGTCACGTGAGGACATGTCGCCCGACCCGGCCTCTCAGCTGCGCCCAGCGAGCCCGCCGCCGCCGGTGCCGGTCTATCGAGGCATCTGCACCGTCCGGTCGACACGTCCGGCCGTCGCCGCCGTCACCCTCGCTGCACGTGCCGGCCGGCCGACCGACCGGCCGACCGGCGGCCCGGACGGTAAGGCCGGCCGGAATGCGCCCGCCCCGGTCGGCGGCGCCCGGTCTTGCGCTCCGACACCTCGGCGCGCGGAGCGGCGCGCCGGCCGACAGCCGGCTGTCAGCGGCCCGGCCCCCGTCCCGCCCGGAGTCCGCGGTGGGGACGGCCGACGGCCGGCGACCACCGCGACCGGCGCGGGACGGCCGCGTGCCGCTCCACAGGCCGGCACCAGCGTAGGAAGGGCGCTCGTGGGCGAGACGCGAAGCTAGCGAGATCAACGCTCTGCAACGGACCACCCGTGATGCAGCCTGGCGGAGAGCCTTATGGAATGTTGGTGTGCAGCTAACGTGCCAAGACGAACATCTTGTTATACTTCGGTGTCTTAAAATAGCGCCGATTTTGTACATTTACGGTTCACATTTGCCGGCAGGGATGTGGCCAGAACTTCGCCCAGCAGGGAGCAATCGGGGCATAGAGGGCTTCTTCAGCAGTTAACGGAATTCTTAAATGATTCCGCAGCTTTAATTCGGGGATCTTTTAAGGCTCGGTTTTGATGTGTCAATGGCGTGCTTTAATGTTTCAGAAGTCATAAGATCGTCTTAAACTAACAAAAAAAACTGGTGCCATCAGCTCCAGGGGAGCCAAAGCCACCTCCAGCGGATGGGTCACGGCCGCAAAAGCCTCCCCTTGGCCCCACTGTGTGCATGCCTATGTCTTGTAAAATGGTTACTGTCAGTGGCAGCACGCCAAATGAAACAATGCGGTCAGCTTCGTGCGTCACCAGGCCATTGTTCCAGAAAGTGCAAACACCATCAAAACAAGTCCGTATGGCCCGCCAAACTGGGGTGCAAACGCGTGCAAAGAACACAGCCGGGGCCCATCTGAGGCCCAGACCGCTGCCAGCCGAGCACCCCGGCTGGCGGCGGTCGGCTGCCAGCCTCAGGCTGCCGACTGCGGTCACCGCGGCCGCCGTCCCTGCACAGCGGCACCCGCCGCCGCGGCGCCCGGCCCTCGCGCCGGCTCCGTGCCGTCCGAGGCGTGACCCGCGACCGCGCGGCCGCGCCGCCGCCCGCCGGCGGTGATCAGAGAAGGCGCGGCGCGCCGCCGCCGGCGCCGACCGGCTCCGTTTCCCACGTGCCGGACGACAGGGCCAAGTGGGCGTGCTTTCACAGCGGCGGCGCTTGACGCCAGCTGTGACCCCTCGCCGGAGACGGCACCGGCGGTCGGCCGCGCGCCGGCATCTGCTCGACACTCGCCGACTCGCTTTAGAGAGCGCTTGATGTTTTAATTACCGACAAAGTGCGGCATAAAATTGAATTTCTGATGCAAAGCGGCCCCCTCTGGCTAGAAAGAAAGTAGCCAACGGCCGGTATTGCGCCATTAGCGAGTGATTAGCCGCTTCTATGCGGAGTAGGCCGAGTCCGATCTTTCGCCCGGACGCGGACGGTGCCGCGGAAAACGCATCGCTCGGGTCGCCTAAACGTCGTCGGTCTGGGTAATCGGCGATGATTGGACGGCGGGCGCCGGCGGCGGCGGGCCGGCGAGAGGCTGCGACAGCGACCGGCCGGCCGTTCGCCCGGTCCGTCAGACTCTGCCGTCGATTGGCGGTCATTTGTCGCCGGTAACGAGCGGCCGGTGCGGTCGGCCGGGCCGCCGCCGGCCGGCGCCGGTGGGAACGCTGCGTCTCCGACGGCGTCCGGCGCTGCCGGCGGAGACGCGGCGTGGGGTCCGCCAGCCGGCGGCGGCGGCGGGCCGCGGTCACCCGAGCCCCGTCCGGGGCCGCGCTGAGCTGCACCGGTTCCGATGGGTTAGCGTAGATTTGGATTGGATCGGATCGAACCAGAGCGAAACGGATTGGAGCGAAGCGGACAGGACCGAATCACACCACATTGCATCGGATCAGAACGGATCCATTCGGATTGGAACTGATCAAATGGAACGGGATCGGGTCGCAGTGAGTCGTTTCGGTCTGGACGTAGGAACGAAGGCATCGTGTGATCTGGGATATGAGATCGCATTGAACCGAATCGGAAAAAATGGTAGTATTTGATTACATCTTATCCGATCCGATCGCACAAAAGCGGGTGGCATCAAATCAAGCAAACTGGGTTGATCATTCTTCAGCCGTCAGACTTTAACGACACGACGCGTCAAGCAAGGCAAACGACTTTCCTCATAAACAATGGACGCATAATATGTGACGATTCCTGGGATGCCGCCCCACGCAATCCTTTAGAGCGATCGCACAATGATCTGATAACAGAAGCCTAACGGCATTCGAGGGGTAGCACCAAGAGCACGCCCCATTCGAAGGGCAGCCGGGCTGCTAAATATACATCTGCGGTCGGTCCGAGTGCGGCCGAATCACAGGGAAAATCGGCCGGTCAGCTGTAACAAGGTCACCGATGTGTGCATGCACTGAATTATTAACCAGATGTAGCTGGTTCGTATTTGGAGGCGACACGGTTCGGGAAGCGTGACTCATCACGCAACACACGCAGCTGGCCTGCGTCTGGGGGGGGGGGGGGGGGGCAGGGGGATGCTGGCACCGACAGGCTGACCTCCGCTACTCGGAGGTAACCCATGCTTGCGGGGTCAACAAACAACCAACGCTACCTTGGCCCTTGCGCAGGTCGGTATCATTCGTGTCGGAGGTCCATGTAATCAGCTGACTGTGACCTACCCTGGGCCAAATGGGACCGGGCCGCGTCCGGTGGGCCATGCCGAATACGAACCGTCGACTTCCCGACCAATAAGAGCTGATTCATGTCTGATAGACCCGCAAACACGGGACCTACAACCCGCCGGGAGACCAGTCGAGGGTGACCAGTGTCCGATCGGAGATGACACGTACGGCGGCCAGTGACCTACCTTGGGCCAGGTGGGGCAGAGCCGGTGCGCCTTCAGGCCATCCTGGTAGGCGGCCGAGAACTGGCCCAGTTTGGCCAGCGCCGCCGACCGGTTCGAGTAGAGCACATGGTTGCTGGGGTCCAGCGAGATGGCCTCGGTGTAGAGGCGCACGGCGGAGTCGAACTCGCCAGCCTGGCAGGCGGCGTTCGAGAGACGCACCTTCTCCAGGAACAACGCCTTGCTGGTGGACGATAGCTCCGAGGCGGTGTCGATCTCAACCTGTGCCGCAGACAGGGGGCGCCAGTCACGGCTGAGGCTGATTGTCTGTCATACAAGGCTCGATCTCTGTCTGTCATACAAGTCTCGATCTCCACCTGTCCAGCAGACGAGGGGCGCTGGTCACGGCTGAGGTCGGCTGTCTGTCACACAAGGCGCGAGCTTGTTATGGCTGCAGGAGAGTGTCCGCAAGATCGGGGCGCTGATCAGGGCCTTTGACACATGTCGTCGCTGCAGCGACAGCCGATCCATGCAGAGCGATGTGTGTGGCTGGAGGCCAAAGCTGGCAGCGCCTCTGGCTGTGTATGAGCAGGGTGCTCCAGAACACGGACGGAATTCTATTTTCTCAGTCAAAGACGTTTGTGAGCTGCAAACCGCAACATGCCGTCAATGCCATAAGGTGCTTAAGCTCTGTCACATCTCGTTCAGCCAAATTTAACATGCGATTTAGATGGACGGTCGAATCTGATTGAAAATTTACCTGCTAGCTGGAACCGATCCAACGCCCCAATCCCTTGTTGCAACCGCACCAATCATTGACTAAGCACTCGTCCGACTAGGAAGTGCAAGTGCTCGAATGTAACAAGCTCTTCCAAGTTTGGGGAAATGCCTCGAGTGAATGACGCCCTCGGTGGACGGCAGCGGTGCTGCCCGCATGCACGGACGCCCCACCAAGTCCGCTCGCCGTCTGTCCCGCCCTGCATTCCCGCCCCGACTGCCCAGCCCGGTCACGCAGCCGGCGCCGCCGCGCAGCTGCCCAGCGTTTCTGGAACTGCGGCTGCCGCCGGAGCAGCGCTGGAACGCACGCGAGCCGCGCCGGCGTCGCCGGAGGAGATCCGAGCGGCGCGGCGCGGCGCGGCCGGCCGTCGGCCGCGCCGCGCGTTTGCCGCCTCACACCGGCCCGCCGCGCTGCACCGGCCGCCATTAGGGCCATGAAGTGGCATTAGTTCCAGCCGGAGCCGAGAGGCGCCTGCAAACCCAACGACCCGGCTTCGGGGAAGCTCGCCTCTGCAGCCGCCTTCCCACCTGGCGGTCGCGCCGTCGGCCGGCGGCGCGCGGCGGGCAGACGGCAGCCTGTCCGTCATCGTCTGTCCCACGAACCCTAGACACTTGTCTCTCACTGAATGTTGCATTGACAGCGACAGCAGAAGGCGCTGTATGTCGCGATGTCAGTTCGCTGCCATCGAAGCCGCAGGCCGACATAGCTTTACTTGAACAGTGGTACCAGTTTCAGGTTGGGTGAACCGATCCTGCCAGGCCTTCACGTTTGCTACAAGCCAACATCTTTGTAACCACTGACCTCAACAGTATGCATTTTTTAGGAACAATAATCGTAATTCTTTTGAAGTTGAGCTTTAAACAATTTAAGGAGTTTGAACTCAACCCGCTTGACCGGGTCCAATTTCCTGCAACACAGCAACATCAGCACAATACAGCGCCTCCATTCGACGAGCGCAGTAAATGTCATGTGGGTGTTTGAGCGAAAACTTAAACCCGCTGGTATGAAGCGTTTTCGGACTTGATTGATGTCATACCCGGGCAACAAGAACAACTAAAGCGTCGTGAAATCAACTGCACCGCGTATATGAATCGAACGTATCGGATGCACGTAACTGAGTGACCAAAACACCGCCGGATCTAAGGGCACTGGCAATTACCGAGAAAACGACCAACGCTACTCTTTTCAAAACTGTTATCGAACGATGACCATAGCTGAGATAGATCGCATCAAGAGAGCGGTACAGACGTATCACAGAGCATTTCAATGCAACCAATAAGCAAAAAAAAAAATTGTGTTCTTCGCAAAGCTTTTGTAACAACCACAAAAAGTGTCAAAACAATCTTAATGTACCAATCCGGTAAGCTGAAATTACCCCGCCTGGCCACGCGCATAACCCGTCAATGTTCAGGCGACCTGACCTGAGAATCAGCGTCCGAACGCTTCGTCCCACCAATCTTCCGCTGTCAACTGCCACGCGAGACGGATTCTTCACCGCCTTGGTCAGAGTCGTGTGTATGAGCTCTCAGAGGTGTCCCGCTCCGTCAGTCTGATTCCGGCATGACCCTCGTGATGGCAGTTGACCGCTCTCACGACTGCCATCACGCCACTAATAATGTGCCTCCTATGTCGCACAGGGCGCTTTGCCGATGTAGCAAGAAGCGCCTTCAATCGCCGCTTCTTAGTCAGCTTACCAGAGGGTGAGCGATCCTTGTTTACTTTGTAATGCGCACAAAAATAAAACGCGGCCCTCTCAGAGAACATAAACACGTGCAAAATACGACCGGAACGCGCTCAGAGAAACACGCGCAAATGTACCCAAGTTGGAAGGAAGACGAATGGGCTTGACGATACTGTCCAAGATGGGACATCAACTATGACAATTATGTCATGTACTCATGAGTGATCTAGAGCTGTCGTGAATGGGTCAGGTCGTGCCCGATCGATTGAGGTGGAGCCTCACAATAACTGAAGCCGCAGTAATACCCCTTCCGGAGGGCGCAACTGGAGAATAGCGGCACCACGAGGCGGATCGCGGTGGATGTCAGCTCTCCAGGGCTGCCGACGTAGCCTCTCAGCTGGCGGGCCCGGCAGACGAGACCAGAGCTCAGCAAGACAGCCGGCTGCAGACCCAGCGCCGCCAGCCGGCCGCTCAGGCCTGCCGGTGTGCACGGCGTTGGCGTTGTTTCCCACACGGCTGGGCTGCCGAGCACGGCAGCAGTCGGCCGCGGCCAGCGGGCGTGCACACGTTCTTCTCACCGGCCCTGTTCTGAGTGCATCGGGTCGCCCGGGGGCCGCCGGGGCAGGCGGATGTGCCGCGCCGCATCGTGAGAGGGAACAAAAGCTGCGGTTTGCGACTGCACTGGCGCAGCGGGCGGGCGCGTCCCTCTAACGCGACTGTCATCCACGCTGTGGCATCGTCTTCAGTTGCCAGCGTCTCACTGGATCGCCGACGAAGGGCCAGAGAGCGCGCAGCGGCCGGCGCAGATCACGCTCCACATACCTTATCGTCGATGGCCGAGTACTTCACGGTGAGCGCCTTGTCGGCGCGGGGCCGCTTATCCATTGCGTCCGTCGATGTGCGACGTCACCGCGCGCGCATCTCACTCTTCGCCAGGTCAGTTCGCCGCTGCCGGCACCCGTCGTCACCTGCCAGCGTCCCCCGACGCCTTCTATGCAGCACTGCGGCTCCCTCGGCCTTCACTCCTCATGGCCACAAATTACGGAACGTTGGCACCTCGAGGATCATCAATCAACGCCGGAACGGCGGGCGGCGGCGCGCCGGCAGCGCCAGCTCGCCAGGCGGCCGGACGAGGAGTGACGGCACGAGCGCATTCCCTGACCGGCCGGCCCGGCAGCCGACTCCGCCGGCCAAATGGGGGCCCACAGCCGGCGGTGGTGCTCGTGGAGCGCGCAGTAAAACCGAAATGAGACGACTGGCGAGCGCCGCGCAACACTGGAAGTCCAGTGGAATCCAGTCGGGAGTGCCCGCAGCAGAACTTCGCGAAATGCGCGCGATTATTGTTATTGACCACGCCACCTTGCACAAGAGGCGCATTTTTGTGAGGCGCCGTCATCGCCACTCCAGCCTCAGTCGGCCAGCGACAGGTGCAGGGCGCCCGTGCTGTCGGCCCGGCCGGTGGTATGTCGGCGGCGGGAGGCCGTCGCTTGGTGGCCCGTGACCGTGAGGCCGAGCGGTGTGATCACGTGACCTGGGCGCTACCTGAGCGGCACTGAGCGTCCCGCGGAGTCCACCGGCCTCATAAAGGGCACAACTCAGTCCTAGATCACACTGTAGTCACTCTCCTGTACGGTGTGCCCCATGTGTTGTGCCGTCTGGGCTCGGGAATTGCAGTCACGCGTGATCGCCGCACCACCGCTAGCCACGTCAGTCACGTGATCTCCTGCACCGTCGCTAGCCATGTCAGTCACGCGATCGACGCGCTACCGCTAGCCATGTCAGTCACGTGGTCGCCACACCACCGCTAGCCATGTCAGTCACGTGATCGCTGCACCACCGCTAGCCACGTCAGTCACGTGATCGCCACACCACCGCTAGTCACGTCATTCACGTGATCGCCACACCACCGCTAGTCACGTCAGCCACGTGATCGCCGCCCCACCGCTAGCTACGTCAGCGATCTAGGCTGATGCGCTGCTTTGGATGCACATACGGGAGACCGTAACACGAGGGAATACGCCATGGCCCCGAGCGTTAATATGACCAATGTAGCTGCCGGCGCTCCATAAAAGGAGAAGGACAGCCTGCGTCACGTTCCCGAGGGAAGAATCGAATAATCGAAAAGACGAGGGAAATATCGAGTTTATCCGTCGGCCGGAACAAAGCTCTGTAGTGCTACCGACACAAGTAATGTCAGAGCGCCTGGCACCGGCGTCGGTCAAGATGCGTGGGTAAAGACCGTGCAGCCGGTGCAGTTTGTACATGGCAGAGTCTGGCACCAGCTCTCTAGGCCTTTGACAAGGTAAATTATCTCCCCATCATGGCGAAGATCTGGCGTTACCAGACCCAGCCCTCCTCAACGTGCCGCCGCCCCGCCGGTGCCTATCACTCAGCACCGACTACTTGTTCCGTGGTACCGAATCTTCCATCTCAGCCCTGCGCAGGCACGAGGCTTCCGTCGCGTAATGCACGAGCGCGGCGGAGTCGATCGGAGCTAAACTCACGACTTGGATGTACTGTTGCATGGTCTATCGGATAAAACACGAGTTTGAACGTCGTCATGACATGAACTCGCAAATGCCACGCGAGGCCTAGAGGCCAGATGCTGTTGTGGGGGGTCTTTCAGCCCAAGTGGTTCCAATCCGGTCGGAAATTTTCCTCGTGTGCCGGGCGAGATAGGCGCGAGGGATGCGGCGTGGTCAGATATCGCCGTCGGTTGTGACCACTGACCGAGATGGCGCTGGTGCGGCGAAATACCGCCAGTTACCGGCTGCCCCGGGCCACACAGGTCAGACCCGCCACTCGCTGCTGACTGTAGCGAGCAGCCAGCGTGTCAGACCGCGCCACACGCTGCTGACTAGCGAGCAGCCAGCGTGTCAGGCCCGCCACACACCGTTGACTGTAGAGAGCAGCCAGTGTGCCAGACCCCGTCACACGCTGCTGACTGTAGCGAGAAGCCAGCGTGTCAGACCCGCCACACGCTGCTGACTGTACCGAGCAGCCAGCGTGTCAGACCCGCCACACGCTGCTGACTGAAGCGAGCAGCCAGTGTGCCAGACCCCGCCACACGTTGCTGACTATACCGAGCAGCAGCGTGTCAGACCCGCCACACGCTGCTGACTGTAGCGAGCAGCCAGCGTGCCAGACCCCGCCACACGTTGGTGACTGTAGCGGGCAGACAGCGTGTCAGACCCGCCACACGCTGCTGACTGTCCCGAGCAACCAGCGTGACAGACCCCACCACACGTTGGTGACTGTACCGAGCAGCCAGCATCGCTCAACAGAAGCACGGCAGGTGCCTGGGCAAGCAAGCACACATGCCAGCGTGCGGAATTCTAATGACCTTTAAGAGCCCTCGAGCGCTCTCGATAGCTGACACGGCCACTGGTCCGCTTGCTCCAGCCATGACCATGAAAAGCCACGCGTCCCACTCCTGCCACTCCGGTCAGCGATGGTGGACGACGGCATGCACCTGTCAGCAGGACAACAGGCACCAGGTGGGCACTTCATCGGACTCTGCACCCAGTTTGGCTACATCGCCGATCGCCTTTCTGTTCTCAAGGTTGATTTGATTTTTGGGACATGGACAGGCACAAATAGCTTGTAATCAACCAGCACAATAGGACAGATCTGACTAGAAATCCTTTTTACTAGAATAAGGTGACTCAGTTTACCAAACTTTTACCAAGGTACAATGCAGGAATGGAACACGGCATTCACTGGTGGTCTTGGCCCGTTCAATTGTCTTTGCAAGATGCCGTAGTGGTAAAACATGCTGTTTAAATCAGTCGTTCGCGCGAGGCCAAAAAAAGTCCAAAAGTTGCTGTCAGGTGCTTGAACTGACACAATGCGCACTGATGTAGACATGAATATGCATTGACTGTGACCAAACAGCATGTTTAATACATCATGTGGTTTTCTGAGTGACGTGGGTATGCTGCATATCAAAAATGCCCGCGAACATATCCCTGACAACAATTCATCGCGGCTCCGGCTGCACATATTTTTGTATTTTATTAGCACAGCATGGCCTAGGCCCTACCAGGGCGAAGGGCTTGGGTATAGGAACAGGGGCGGGGGAGGGGACCATGGAGCAATGTTCCCCACGCTTTTTTCCGGGGGGGGGATGCAGCAATGTTAACTGGGCCTCCATTTTTTCAGATGTAATTTGCGTTTAGTTTACTTTTGTGCTACCTTAAATATGCATGCTGATTTACTTAGTTCACCAGCCATTTTCCACAACCGTGCTAGATCGAAGTGTTTCATGTAGGAAATGATGGTACCTTATGCTACCACGTACGGCGAATGAAGATATTAGGCAGAAAATTCCAAGTTGCTCCAGAGCCGATGGATCGGTTTTGGGTTTTCATAAAGCTTTGGCTCTTCTGCTTGACTGTTTAGCCCCTCAGCATAGTTCCATGGAGTTTAACATGTATCAGTCGAAGGCGTTTGACGTAGTCTAGCATATCAGGTATAAACTTTACTTTGATATGATGTCGAGTTTCATGTAACTTTCGGAGTTTTACGCAGGCAATATTGCTACGCTATTTACCTGACCGATGTTTTACTTCTAGGCACTTTATGAAACGCCAGAAAACCATGAGCGTTCAAAGAAGGGCTATAGGCGTTTCAGGAACGCCGTGCAACACTATGCACCTTAAGTGCCAAGCAGCGCGTTCGGCGAGTTTGTCTAGATGCCCCGATTCGGCGCCCTGTGTCATCTAGTAGGCTGTGACAAACGGCGAAGTTTGTCAGTCCCACACAAACGATATTTTGAAGAAGGTTATCGCTTTCCTTTACTAAGTGCTGCTTGTGTTGAGTCACGAAATACTTGGCAAGGTTTTTCGAAAGTGTATCAGCGTTCGCCCTCTCAACTGTGCTCAACTGCAACTGCGGATGACGATACTGCTGCTGGCGGAAGAGTGTTCCACCCATGACATTACCGACGATCCGGGTGCTGAATAAATCCCGACGGGTGAAGGTCTTGAGTGTTTCTCAGGTCCTCAATACCAGGCGAAGCCAGGTGCGAACGAATCGGTGATGTGACTCTACTCGGGGAGCTCAGTCAGTCGTAGGGGGAGCGTGTCGTGCCTGCAGTAGGAGCGCATTAAGCAGGGTAAAGTCCAGCCAGTGCATTCGTCAGTGGAGTGTTGCCAGTGCAGTGTAGTCAGTGCGGTGTAGTCAGTGCAGTGCGGTCAGTGCAGTGTATTTGTGGAGTGTAGCCAGTGCAGTCGTCAGTAGAGTGTAGTCAGCGCAGTGTAGTTAGCGGAGTGGAGTCAGTGTAATCGCCAGTGGAGTCCAGCCAGTGTAGCCATCGGTGGGGTGTAGTCAGTGCAGTGTAGTTAGTGAAGCGTGTTCAGTGTAGTCGCCATTGGAGTGTAGCCAGTGCAGTCATCAGTGGAGTGAAGCCAGTGCAGTGGAGTCAGTACAGTGTACTCAGTGCAGTGTAGTCAGTGCAGTGCGGTCAGAACAGTCTAGTCATTGCAGTGTATTTGGTGGAGTCAGTGCAATGTAGTCAGTGGAGTGCGGCCAGTGGAGTGTAGTCAGTGCAGTGGAGTCAGTGCGGTGGAGTCAGTGCGGTGGAGTCAGTGCGGTGGAGTCAGTGCAGTGGAGTCAGTACCGTGAGTATCGCAGAAAGTCAGCTGACGCGAGGTGCTCTGACCAAAGGTGCAGTGCTTCGCCACTATCCTCTGCACGAAGACCGAGTTCCGCACGCTCCGAAACGTGTAACCGCGCGGATGTGAGGAATGCAGGTAAATTTGTAGCATTAATCATTTTCTTCGGAAAGGAAAACCATCTTCTCTGGAAGTCGTTACGATGGGCCTTGTAACGAGGCCAATCTTAACGAACCGAACCTCAGGTCCAATCTGTATCCGATTGCTGTTCGTGAGTAAATAGTGGGGCCATTTCCGCCATGGTCTGTTTCCTTGTGGACATTCGGAGCAATTTGTGGCTGGTTGATAGCATTACCTTTACAATTCAGGCAG